CTTTTAATATACAAAAAAAACATAATCGATGTAGCTTAACTCTTCAAAGTGATGAAACGCAACAGGGAGACTCCCTTTCAGGTTGTTGAATTCAAAGTTTGAAGGGTTAGACATTACAAAACAAAAATCTGTAACTGTCTTCAATCCATACACACATCTCACTGAAATATTGTTAGATAACAATTACCCACTGAGATTTATTAGACGTTATGGAAGTGTCAACCATACAGCTTTACCAATCCAATCATTTCCCAAAAAGGATGTTTACATATCCTTGCCGTTCAGAGGTGATCAACAAAGTCTAGTCACTAGACAAAGACTAAAGGCCGCAATTAATAGAACCTATTACGCAGCTAAACTTATCTTCATAGAGAAAACGAAAATTATGCTGTCCTGTAAACCCTCACATTATCTGAACGATAGTGACACATCCCACTGTGTTTATCAATTTACATGTATGTGTGGAGACACGTACATAGGGAGGACCCATCGATCTTTGTAGGTTAGGACTACAGAATATATTACAAAATTGCTGCACCAATAAATAAAACCTGCATGTCTCTGCAAGTTAGGGCTACAGAACACATTCCAAAGTGGCTGCAACAACAAATGAAATCGCCAGATACAATTGACCCGGGAAATAGATGTCCAACATCATCTATAGCGAAGCATACTATAGAGACGAGTCATAAGGTTGATTTTAACAATGCCTTTAAGCCGATATATAAGACAAGGTTGGGTCGCCTTAGCCTTTAAAAGACTTAAACCTGTCTTATGCATCCAAAAGTTATTTGTTATCACCTTAAACCTGCCTTGGTAATCCAACTTAGAACCAAGGACCAACTTTACTTCATAATATTTTCAAACCCTTTCTTTGCCTTTTTTTTTCCTCCCTTTATCTTTCTTACCCACACTTATTGCGTTTCCCTACCCATTATTTTGTGACCTTGACCTGTACACAATCTGACCTGTATTGTAATTATTCATGCTTTCTTACCTTATATAAAAACTGTGTATGACAAGTACGTGTAAGATCAGAATGCCCGAAATGTGTTGCGCCAATACATTACACGTTTCAGATAAACTACATCTTCATATTGTTTTGTCGAAATACACACTTGTATCAATACACTTCTACAGATTCGCCAATCATCAACATGGCCCCCCATACACACACAAACACACGAAAATATGTGCAGTCACACAAATAACCTTGCAGAAACACATCGACGCTGACTTATATCAGTATTACAAAACGAACATGATAAAGTTCCACTCTTTTGCCGAGATTCGTAACCACACCTACGACACTAGTAAAAATAACAAGGCTATCATAAACACGTGAATAAGTAGTGAAGACAGGACTCCAGGTGAACGTAGAGAAGGCGGAATTGATGAAGACAGTTAACCAACAACAACCAGAATGAATCACCATCAACGGAAGAAATTCGAAAATGGTCACGTCCTTCAATTATCTAGGGAGCATCGTTTTAACTAAACGTAGTCGGTAGAAATGAGGATATCAAGGCCAACCAGGAATGGAAAGGCGAGACAGACCTTCATCAGTCTCAGATCAGTTGGGAAATCTGCACTCCACAGCACAAAAAATAAAATTCGGATTTTCAATACGAATTTTAAATCAGTTATTTCTTCTATATGGGTCAAAAACGTTCAATGCGCGTCACGGAAAGCATTTCCAATAGGTCACAGCAGATTTGGATTAACAGTTACCTTCGTTCTGTATTGAAGATTGGGTGTCCAGAAAGAATTAGCAACAAGGAACTGTAGGAAAAAACTAACTAAGGAACTATCACTCAATAAATGTGTAGGAGAAACTGGAGCTGGATCGGGCAGACGGTGAGAAGATCAGCAAATGACATCGCGCACCTTCCAGGCCATCGCTCGAGTGGAACCCAAATGGGAAACGACAAGTTGGGCATGGCTTCGAAGGTGACATGTTGCGTCGAAGACACAGTAGTTAGGACTCTCGCCGACCATGCACATGGTCCGGGGTTCGACCCCCTGCCTACGTACACCTGATATCTATGGTCGGCCTGCAAAATTTGGGCTACCGACATCACATGCTGAAAATTCCATGCCTGTACTGAAAAATATGGTGTGGAATCAAACTGTAATCAGAAATAAAAAATAGATGGCGAAGTTAAACTTTCGACACCACTAACTACCAATCAGCGAATTATCCAATGAGATTCACGAACGATGTCGAATTATCCACTGAGGCTCACGAACGTAGTTCAATGTTGCATAGCGCTTGATTCATTTCAAATGCGTGGCCTTACAAGGTTACGGTTGCAATTCGAGGAGGATAGTGTTTTCCAGTATTGCCTGAATTTAGGGTTGCTCCGGAAGGAGCAAACTTGTTCGTATGGTGGTATCATGACTTTAAAAAGCTATAGCAGATCAACTGGTGGATTTGTTCATCGTTGTGCTATATGTTTGAAGCGTGCTAGCATTATAGAGGGTAGGCTGATTATTTTAATATTTCGTAGGAACTTTTTTCGCTAGGTCGCATCTCTCCCTAACCCAGATTTTATAAATCTGCAACTACTGGGTGTTGAAACAGCCTGTCTCAACAGTTCAGTGGTACCAGTATTGCAGAGACATCGCATCATGGAAAATGAAGAAAATCACTTGTTTGCTGGGTGGAGAAGACGTTATCGTGCATGTCGATGAAACAGTGCTGGTAAAAAAGAAAGGGTTTTGGGGCAGATTGAAAAATAGGATAAGGGCTATAAATGGATCTCATTTATAGTCATTTAGATGAATATATGTACAGGATGTGGTGTAACTTCTCTATTGACAGTCCCATGCTAAACTGGGAGATGTTTCTCTCACATGTTCGAGAAAGACATCCCATGTAACTTTTTTATTATCTATTTTATGCAATTTTTCTATAAATATACATTTCCATTCATCATATATGCCTCTTTAATGTGATTAGTCCCGTCAAGGTCGTTTTCTGATTGGTTGTTAGTGGTGTCTAAAGTTTAACTTTGCCAAATAGATTGTGTGGTGAGGAAAAGATCAGAGATTATGAGAAATCGTGGTCCCAGCTAGAGTGGCTAGCAGGAAGTGGAAATGTGCTATTGAAGCTCTATATCCCATTCCGAGCCCAAAGAAACGATAATAATAATGATATCATTAAAACCAATATTATACAAATCCACACAAAATGAAGAATTACTACATGACATAAAAGTAAAATTTGAACACCGCAGTAGAACAGAATTCCGTATTAGATAAATTTACTTGGTATAATATTCACAGTGATACAGTCATTATATACTGCAATACACTATTTGTATTACTTTGTATCACAGTGCGTTTTCTATCACATAAACTTATCTATTATGGAATGCATTACTACTCCAATACCATACCAGCACACTGCTCAGTCGTGTAACCATAATAAATCAATAAAAACACAAGAATTTTGATAAATTGGTTGAGTATTACAGTCAAAATGGCACCACTGCCACGACCACCACTAAATCATGAGAAGGACAGAAAAATCAATCGCATTCCATCAACACACATACGTAAGAAAGACTTAACATCAATCGTACAGCCAATTCAGTCGTTAAGAAATAAGGTGCTAATTGATATAATGAACAGAGGTTGATAACGATATCTCATCAATAACAAGTTAGATGGTTCTGTGCACACTTAACTCATTTAATCTATCTGATTGTTGTAAAACATAGAAACACAGCAGAATCAAAAAGTTACACTACGACATGACTTTCAGGTCTTCTTTATATCGTACATTTTAAAATATAACTGACATAGAACCATTGGTGAACCTGGGAGTGCTGAACAGCCAATTGTTTCATTCTAGTACACACCCAGCACCTCCAGGTTACAAAGCGAGCTCGTAGACCATTCATCAGTCATTGGGACTGGGACCCAATGGTCCATGAACTCTAACCACTGTCAATTCACGATATAGCACAACCACTGGCGAGTATTTGTTCTCACACCCGACCCTATGTACCTCACTAATCACGACTTCTCACTTGAATCTAGGTAACTAACTACCCATCTGAATAGAGTCAGTCGCCAGTGAGCATCAGATGGATATTCAAGTGTTGGTTTGCAGGATTTCATCATGATCTGACATCGGTTAGAGAACCATTAAAAAACCACCTGGGAGTATTGCATAGCCAGTTGTTCCTATCGTCCTTGTTTAGGACTCTTTATCAGTACGCAGCCACTACAGGACCTGTCTTCCAGTTACAAGGCGTGCTCGTAGATCGTTCGTTCCAACCAATGGTCCGTGAATTTCAAGTTCTGCTCATTCGCGCTATCCAGTACTCCCTGGTTTTCCCCAGTGGTTTTCTAACTGATGACATCGCTCGTGATCAAACGAGGAAATACTACCACTACTACTATTACTATTTTGTAACGTCTACAAAAAAACACCAAAAAATGACACCAATGTCGTCAGTCACGACAGTGCATTGTTAAGCTGGACTTTCAACGTAAAACTTTGCACAAAACTGTAACAGTTTCATTAAAATTGCACAACTGTATCGAACGGAATAACGAATAAGCATTCGCACACTGCAGCATAACATAACATTGGAGAGCAAAACAAAAACGAAGCACTAAAATGCGGTTTTTTCAAAACTTATGGATATATTTTAAAATTTTCACAGATTATATGTAAGTGGTGTTGAGGATTACAAAAACAAAAACAGAGAGTAGGGTTAGATCTGCACAAAGGCTAAAAAATGAATCATATAAGTAATATAAACATGAAAAAAGGGAAAATCAATGGATCCTTTTCCTATACATACTAATTTGAGGTAAACACAGTTTACTTGTAATAAGCACAAAGAAAGATGCTGCCGTGTATGTGTTATTTTGGTTAAACTATATCATCTATGAGATGTAGACACACCTCTAAGGAGGAAATATGTGTATTTATCACTAAAAGTCAATTTGATGAAAGGATTTCTCTATGCACGATTGATTAATTAAACAGGTTTCGTAGCCTTGATAGACGGGAGAAGAAAATCTTCTAACTCTTTATACGCCGTGTCTAAATCATTATTGATGATAATTTTTGTATATAATTTTTTGCCTTCTTCAGTTTCTGAAAATTCAATATCTTTACGAGCTCTTTCAATTCGTTTAGACAAGGTTTCTTCAGTTTCTGTTCCACGAGCAAGTAAACGTCTATTCAAATCATCAATAGACGGTGGACGAATAAGAATGTATTCAGCATTTAACGGTGGTTGAATTGCACGAATACTTTTAACGCCTTCTAATTCGACATCTAAAATACATATCCGGCCAGTATCCAGTACCTAAAATCAAAAAAAAATTAACAATAAAAATCGGGAAAAAAACTAGAAATTGCATTTAGTATGTAAAACCTTTTATCAGCTTAAAATATAAAACCCTTGTTGTTATTAGATGGTTGGAGGCAAGTGGCCACAGGAAGCCTCGACTCACCTAGATTTCGGGCTAGTTACTACTCGCCATGCAGCAAGGCATATCTGCTACTACCCTGAAGGATCTCATGCCCCTCCTGAGATTCGAACCCATATCACTTAAAGCTCCAGTCAAGGACGTTACCACCACTGAGCTATTCGGGCTGGCAACTGACCTCATGTAGGACTACTGATTTGGATACTTTGAGTGGATACTAATAACTACTATCATGAGTCAGTGGTAACTTCTTTGACTGCAGCTTTGAGTGTCACAGGTTCGAATCTCAGGAGAGATATGAGTTTCTTCAAGGTAGTTGAATATAAGGCCTTGATGACTGACTGGTGAGTGCCAGCAAGCACGAAACCTAAGTCAGTCAAGGCTTCTTGTGGCCAATCGCCATTTAAAACCTTGCTACTCAAGGCTCGATCTCAAAGAAGTTATACTGCTGTCAATTACTTATGTCTCATATTTTCACTATGGCCACTTATTGAAACATCTTTCATAAAACCCAGAAAAGTCTTAATTATGTATCCTTATTGAAAGTCGATCTAGATATTACCTCTGGGCTTTAAATTCCATATCTTTTACAATAAGCTAGACTGAATTCACCTTAAAATTCAATCGGGAAATGTTTGACTAACTGTTTGACTTAAGACCTACAACCAATGAAAGTTGACTGGAAGCCAGATTTATGGACTTAGCTATTAAAGTAGCCATTAGCCAAAAGTTTGACGAAAATACTTTGCGCGGTGTATCAAAAAGTTACCAATGAAATGACAAAGAACGAGACCTGATAAAGATTTTACTGCAGTAGCGTTAATCAGAAAACACTATATTTCAGAGATATTTAGTGATAATACTTATTTTTCGGATTAATCAATAAAGAAATGAAACAGAAAACTGGTAAGGTTATTATTCAAGTACTTAAGTTTAATCATATTGAGTAGTTGAGTGCGTAACAGAACAATTATTCTTGCGACTAAGTCATATAAGAGAATGGGAAAGAATTCACCTACCACAAGCTAAGAATATTTAACTCTATGAAAGTAATTCGATGAGAAAAGTAAATTTCCCTTAACGTGAACGTGTTACGGAGCTTTGTTGTTAAAAATCACTCTTATTAGGTAAAGATACAGTCGTTAAGGCGAAAAAAAAATATGCACATGTTAGATTCATTTCTAAACTAGTGTCAATCCAACATACAAAAGTGGGTGATTTAAACTGATATACACGAGGGGATCAACTTCAGCAATATACTGCTAAGTGGAGCCAAAAAACGGAGTAGACCATGTTTCCATCTTTTGACAGACAATAAAAACAACCTCTGGTACTCGTCATACTTCTTGACCGAAAAGTGGTATTGAACTTCGTCAATTAGGAGACAATGCAACACCTAACTGCAAAAGGAATTACTAAGTATGTTGTGCTAGCTAATGTACTCTGATGTAACCTACGTAGGTACGTAAGAACTTAAACAAATTTGAAGGTAAAAGCGGATATACCCAGGGATGCTGGATACTCCTATCCTTACTTAAACATATTTCAAACGTATTAATAGAACTACATAACCGATTTTGATATTAATTGCAACAGTTGGAGTGATCACAGGTAGTAACTTAGTTCGAAATATTACCAAAAACAAAAACTTATCATTACGTGTAAACTATTGAAATATAATTATAATTTATTTGACCTAATCCACAATGCTCAAATTTTTAAGGTTACCAGGAGAAAAAAACGATGTAACCTTTATGAGTGAGAAAGATTACAAAATGCAAGACCCTCTTCTTACTATTAACATTTGTAAAATCGCTGGCAACAGAGCTACGTAATGTTGGTTTGCATCTCTGAGCTATCATCACTTACCACGAAGTCTCAAATATATTGTGCTGATGAGAGCTCAAGTCTAGAGATTATTGTCGATTGTTTCGAGAAACAGAACATAAGATTTGAATATCATTCAGTATGTGGTTCACCTCTGTCTTAGAGCCATCTGTAAAGAATCTTGGTCTAACACTAGAAAGTGAATAGGCTATGCTGACGACATTAGTCATTTTGGATATCACAAGCCCCAATGGACTGATGCAAAACAAAACCTGAGACCAGGAGCAGTGACTGCTAGATAAGAGGCTACAGATGAAAGGGTCTATGCACTGCAAAGCAACTCACTCTATTATATTCTACTTTTCAGGCATAACCACCAGAAAGCAAATATGAGAAGACTACAGATCTTTTCATCACATATTCTTTGTCTATTTGCACAAGTTTAAGGAATCAACATAGACGACAGTGCGGAGATAACACGCAGTGTCAAAGGAGTAAAGTCAGCCAATCTGTTAGGTTTTACATCTACAAGGATCTTAATGACTACACGTTTGTTCGTAGATTCACTGCCTACCTAGACTAGGCATATCAGTAGGAGTTGGATTAAACAGGAAACGCCACACGAAGTTAAAAACTGCTAATATAATAGCTTAATTTAAGCAGTGTAATAACAAACAACTCCAAGCTGGTTTATGTGATACAATACAAGGTTGAAACAAACATTGCAATGCTCCTGATGTTGTAAAAAATTATATTTGTAAAATCTCAGCGATATTGAAATGAGTAATTCCACCGTTTCGTTCGGAAATCTGGTCCGAACTTCTTCAGGGAAATTAATCAAAATTAACATAACAGGTTTATATATAAAAGGAACATCTTAAGTTTTTAAAAACTTTGTCCAATCATGATTTATAAAGCAAATATTAACAAGTATGATAAACAAAGTTGTACGAGTTGTGATCAAAATTTGACCTCAGACTTACAAATATTGATCTACCTTTGTTAAACACTTTAAACACAGTGTGTATGTGTGTGTGTGCGGATAAACAGTTGTAAAACAATGTCTTAACGTCTCCATGAGTAGATATAGACAGTCGGGAAACTTTGACCAAGTATTATTAGTTAGTGATACATATCCATTCTTATTTATTAATCAGGATTTCCTATGCGTCATCTAACATCACACCTTCATGTCTGTTCAAACTGTTAGTATCTAGAATTTTATGATTAGACGTATTTTCAAAATTATGGTGTTTAGGATTAGAGTTTAGTTGAACAACCCCGTCAAACTTATTACTTTGTCTTCTTTCTGAAAATTCAGCTGATTTATTCGACCTACTGAAGTTGTCAGGTGACTGGACAGCTACGAATTTAGCATACGCATTCTGCTGCAGACAACGGAGAGTGGAAACACGATGATTGTGCCAATTACATAGTTTCTTTGTTAATTTAATTCGATTACAAAATAAATCAAATGAACTGTAGTCAAGATTTGATAGAATAGTTCTATAATATTTGGGCGCCGAGTGAGAAGTAGACATTTGTAAAAAATTATATTTGTAACAAATTTTGATCACAACTCGTACAATTTTGTTTATTATACTTGTTAATATTTGTTTTATAAATCATGATTGGACAAAGTTTTTAAAAACTTAAGATGTTCCTTTTATATATAAACCTGTTATGTTAATTTTGATTAATTTCCCTGAAGAAGTTCGGACCAGATTTCCGAACGAAACGTTGGAATTACTCATTTCAATATCGCTGAGATTTTACAAATATAATTTTTTACAAATGTCTACTTCTCACTCGGCACCCAAATATTATAGAACTATTCTGTCAAATCTTGACTACAGTTCATTTGACTCCTGATGTTGCATATGTAAATGAAACATATAGACAGTTAGAGAAGTCCCCAAACGGACTTAAGATATAAAACAATAAATCAGAAGCAGGGGACTAAATTCATTTTGATAGTAAACTGTCTGAGATAAAAGTTTTCATTTATGTCTGAGAGGAATGATTGTGAAGGCAGTGTTTATGTATAAATACAAGATGCTTAAATATTCGGAACTTAATGGCATTAAACGATGCACAAAAATTTGTGACCAACAAGTAGGATAGAGTCTTAATGATACTATCCCTAATATTCACCAACTTGGACGATTACATTAGCTAAGTATAAGCAATATAAATTTATTGCTTATAGCAACAGGTTTCATTGGAAAGTATTAATACTTTCAAACGATATCATTTACCACTCAAGTATGCAACCAAGATTTCAACAGACAAATCAGTAAACGGTATTCATCTAAAATGAAAAGTGATTACCGAGTGTACAGCATATCTTGAAGTCCCATAGATATTTCCGGCGAATTCTGCGTGCTCCAAAAACTTCCCTTCAGAAATTTCCCGTAAGAATGTATCTCTATCAGTAAAGTGATAATCTATGCCATCTTTCTCCCCGGGTCGTGGCTTTCGTGTTGTGTGAGACACACTAAATGCAAAACTTGTCGGATACTTCTTCATTAGCATTTGAAGAAGTGTGCTTTTACCAGCTCCAGAAGGACCTGAAAATACGTATATTGGCAGCTTATTCATTTTTTAAGGCCGTAGAAAGGATTGTCGATATCAGATGTAGTGGGAGGATACGGACGACAGTCACTACACCCCAAGCTAGCCAAGAACGAAAAGACAGACCATTATTCTAACCACGGCCTCCAAGGACTTGCACACTTTTATTTGAAATGTGAAGTACTAAAACAAAAGATTAATGAAACCATTCACATCAGTAAGACATTCAGAGCATTAGAAAAGAAAATAAAGTCTTCCGAGTTAGTTTTTAGTAGTTAACTCGAGCATCAGGAGCCGAGCTCTGAACTTACTACGTGGTCAACAAACAGAAGTTACAGATGATAAATGGAAGATAAATAGTGAAGAAATACCACCTGATAATCGTTGGGTTGGGCATGAGATGCGAATAAATGAACTTAAACAATATGAGTGATAAAGCGACTGGTGAACCTGGAACATAGCCTGTGAAACTGGAAATAAAACTGGCGTTACTGCCTGGCTGTAAGTAGAAATCGTGGTCGTTACTGCCACGAGGTGCAGTAAATGACCGGCGGGCTACCATGCAGTTATGTGTGACCTGGAGAACTCAAGTGACCCGATCTGACTAAACGGGAGTCGTAAAAATTAGGCTATGCAGCCTTAGTGAGAGAATGCCTTCTGCAAAGGTCCCTCACATATTCATGAGGAAATGAATCAACATAAGTAAAACAACCAACAAACACAGTCTAAACGGGCCTGATATATCCATCAGACCGAAAGAAGGATTAATGAAAACAGAAGTGCCACTTTTCGAATAAAGGAGAGAACAAAGGAAAAGCGACTTAGTGGATTAGATTTTCAGATATACATGCCTTAGAAATCTATATTCTGTGAGATAATCCAGACACTAATAAAAGCCTAAAGATAACACACCAGCATATTCATTACCAGAAGTAAAATGTATGGGAGTGGTACGGTAGTGAGTGACCTGATTCCAGCCATTGTGTTGCCCAATAGAACATAACTATTGTTCGACTTGAATGAGAAGCCTGCGTTGCCATAGTTTAGCTGTCTGCGCAGGTAATGAGTCAGTGATAGTGTGGTCATTCTACAAAAAGGTATTATATGACCAATCACATGTTGTAAGTGTTTAGGGAACTTGGAAGGGTAGAAAGAACAACCAAGAGGGATCTATATCATCTTTCTGGTTTCTAAGGCTTTCTTTACCTACTGGAGGTTTGATTATGTATGGCCCATATTATTTGCCTTTCGCAGCGCTTTTGCAAATAAAGGTTCATCAGAACCAATGCTCTTTCACAACATTACAGGGCGCCGCTCGGTAATTTGTGCTATCATTTTGATACAAAAGTCAGTTTCTAAATTGGCAAGCCTTGCTTCCAGTTCATACTTTCCCGTCTGACTAAAATCGATAAATCTTTTTTGTTCTCCACATTTGTCTACTCATTTATTTCTCAGGTACTTATTACTTTGTTCGATAATATTTTCCATTAAAAGTCTGATTGGCCAACCAAAGAAATTGGCCTTAAGGACCCTGCTTCCTTGTTTGTGGATTCTTCAGTAACCACCAAAGTTAGGCTGCCTAATTTTGACCAAATGACCAAGAACTAAGGGTCGATCAACTAGACCACTACTTCAACCGGCACAGCATTAAGCCCGAAACCACCATGTGTAGGTACTTATTTCCTCAATCACGTTATGAGACCAGCGAGGAGGTGCGTGACTTTATACTTCATCCGCCCAAAGACCTGCCATACATAGTGCTGATGCGCGAGGTAATAAAACAACTCTCTGTGTCCGAAAATCGGAGTATGCATCGGTTGCTTCAAAGGGAGAAGATGTGAGATAGGCTCACATCGCAGTTCTTCCGTCGCCTGCAGGAGCCTGTAGGGAACAGCAACATGGGGAGAGGCAGTAATGAAGCAAGGTTGATTACAAGCCCTCCCAGAGTATGTGTAATAGGCGCTAGACACACGGGATTATGACTCTGCTCTTGAACACTTAGCAAGCATAATTGGTCGGTTGTTGTGAAGGAGACAACATCAACACGGACAGGTCACCAAACGAATACGAGCAAAGACCCAATAATCTCGCATCTGGTGACCATTGTTAGGTTACTAACGCAGCAACTGGCACAAAAAACTAACACAGGTAATGCGAAGGAGATCACTTAATAAGTCACGTTCTCGATGGAAGAGGACGCCCAAACAAACTAGGTCAACAGGTCAGTTTTTCAGTGTCACTGCAGGTTTGGCGCACAGTCAACAAAGTGCACGCGGTCGTGCTCCTGGCCTTAAATATCCCAAAAGCAACAGGGGGCGATTAACCTCTTAAGAGGTAGCGGTCACAGGGAGGGTGTGTCCGGCACTTGTCTATTCTACGTCAAGGATAAGAACACTCGTACGGACTGTTTTGTTGGTATAAGAGTTTCACCCAGTATCATAACAAAACCATTGGGTGATCCGGGAAGACAAAGTCCCCTATAACGTTAGTGATCACCGGTTAAAATCAAGACAGCATATGTCAATGGAGTTGAAGATTGAACGATCAATTCATGGTTTTTTGCTCAAAATCAACTTCCCCAATTTTCGCGGAGGCATCAATACGACAGTCATCGTCTCATCGGTCGCTGTTCAGAAAGAAGTCAGCAGAAAACCGTCAGAAGTAATATTGTGATTTATTATTGTAATATTTGTTCACAGACCTTAGTCCAAATATTATTTTTATATGTTGGTGTTACAATAAAGAATCCACGAGTCAACAATTGCTCTTTTGGTTTTTTCGTCCGTATTAACTAAGCGTTTCTGAAAAACTTCAAGGAACAGCGTGAGCCCGAGCGTAGCAAGAGCCGGGCATTAACGGTTTATGAGACGTGGCTGACAGTTTCTGATGGTAGAAACAGATTTGGCGGATTCAGTCAGTTGGTGAAAGTTTCGATAGTCACCGTTCATCTTACCTGGTGCCGGTCAAGTCCTCTTTGAACAAGCAATATCTGGAACATTTTTGGAATTGGGTCAAGTTCAACAATGCCTGGGTCAAAGAAGGGACAGAGTGTCTTTGATGCAAACAGGAAAGTAAGCCATGGTGACTTGTCTGTTGATTGTAAGGATGTGTCTGATGTTAAGCATGACATGGTTGATGTTATTGTTTCGCCGTTCAGGGATAATAGGAACATCAAACTCCCTAAATTAGAACCACGATGTTTTGATGGAAACCCGGCTGATTATTTACAATTTGTAAAGGAGTTTGAGATCGTGCTGAGTGGTTCTTTATTAAGTGATGAAATGAAATTGATGTATTTGATGAGATATTGCACTGGAGATGCTTCAAGAGCCATACAGTGCTGTAAGCTCATGCCCCCTAATGAGGGATACGCTGAGGCTATGAGCATACTAAGTCAAAGGTTTGGAAGACCTTCAATGATTGTAAGGAACGTATACGAAGCTGTCAAAGGTAACGGCAGTCAACTTCAAGATGACTCCAAGGCACTTACTGAGTTTTTAAATAATCTTATGACTTATAAGAATACCTTGATTTCGATGAATTGCATGAGTGACCTCAACTCGAGCTTTATACTAGAAGTAATAGCAAAACGCCTACCTACTCGACTGCAAAGGAAGTGGGTGAAGATAAGCTCCCATATAAAGGATGAGGGTATCGAGCCAAAGTTTGATGATATCCTGAAACTGGTAAAAGATAGCGTCAATCATTCTGTGAGAAAGTTTGCCAGTATATTGAATCTCACCCCTAGAATAGAGCAGTCTGAGAGTAAAACGCAATAATTGATGATGAACAGGCCTCAGAGAGGTGGATATCGAGAAGGCTCCATGATGTCTAGTAATGCATATAGAGCTAGTGAGTGTAACAGGTTTCGTAGTACATCCTCAACAGATGAGTTACAAGATGCAAGACAAACACGGTTGTGTTTTACACGTTTGCAAGAGGTGCATACAGAAGTGAACTGTGAACCGGTGAGCAAGTTCAGTGATAAGCTAAATGTAAACTCCAGGCCTGACTCCGAATTGTGTGACGATAACGGTGCGGTCAAGAAGTCTGTAGTTGCAACTGATAAGCCATTGTTGAATAGAGTGTCACAGAATAGGGTTACTGCTTCAGAGTGCAGTTCTGACTCCAAAAGTTTACAAAGTATAACTAGTCAGAGTGAAGATATAAAACCTTTAATGATTTGTGAGGAGGAACCAAAATTGTCTACTTCTGTTATTAAAGAGTTTGAAAATGATGAAGTTGACGGTAAAGTGAATATTCGTGGTAATGATCATGATACTTCACAGTTGTCCTTCGTTGGTCATGATGAGATGAGGGATATGCCTACTACTGCTAAGTTGAACAAAGGTTCTGTACAACTACAACGTGAAGTAGATTTGAACGCAGATGCAGTTCCAGAAGGTGTGCATACGTGTGAGACAGTCAGTGTGAGTGATCAGCATGTAGCCCACCTATCATCAGATGCTAGTGCTAAACCTGAGCTGATGGTAAAAGACAGCAGTGGTGGTGGTATTGGAGGTAGACAAATTTCTGAAAATCGAGCAACAACAGCTTTTGATCCACAGCTAACTTCATCAACTGATATCAATCAGTCGTCGTTGGTGTTGTCATTCACAATGAAACAGACGCCCATCAACTCAAGTATCTTGCGCCATGACTATGCTAGTATTAGTTCGTTTGAAAGGACGAATATCAATGGTCAGTTTAGTGAGGATAAGCCAAGTGTAAACGAGAGAGTAATTGTTAAATTGACTTGCATGAACCAAGGCATTTCTAGTTTCAAGTTACTATTTGAATGCTATTATCTTTGGTGTAAATTACTCTGTTTTTACACTTGGTTGATGAGATATGTCGCGTGTTTGTTCGTCATCTATATTCTACGATACAATGACATGAGCGTGTTACCGTTCAGATTTTAGGGTATAGCTGATAAAAGGTAATCAGCAAATGAACTCTGCGATGATTTTCCAACCTAGAGCGTCAACCTGAGAAGGGTTGTAGGCGTACTGGTGTAAGTCCTACAA